ACCTCGACTTGAAACCATTGTTTGTGACCAGTCAAGCGAATCTGGGAAAGGTCTATCGAGACAAAATTAATAACATAACAATTTGTTTTCATTTTATTTTAACAGTATGTATAAACAGCTTTCTGACAAATTCCAACACCATCACTTCGTGGTAATGTAATAAATCACACCTAATTGTAAGTTACATAAAAATGAATGTCTTCTTTTTTGGTTTTTACTTATTCCTATTTTTTATTGAAACATTAAATTGTTATTTTTATGTGTTAGTATTTATGCAATTAGGTATATTATTTGAAAATATAAATATATGTATTTTTAAGTATTACAATTTCAATTTCTATTTAAGGTGACTTAATTGCAAAAACGATTCAAACCTATATACATATCGCTTAAAAAATCTTTTTCAGCAAAAGTCCTCATGCTATTGGAATAAAAGCTGAAGATTTAGTTTAAGTAAGGAATGTATATTCACACTGACAAACCATATCTTTTTTCGTCAAAGATTTCTAACATTATAACGCGTTTCAATTAATACAATGAAGGATATTTCCTGAATTTTTTCTCATGTAAAATATACTAGACCAGATAAAGGTGTTCCTGCCTCCTGTCATGGCTCCCATCACGTGATGGTGCAAAGCCTCTATTCGACTAACTTTTTGAAAAATATGTATTATTCATAAACATCGCAAAGAAGTACATTTTCAATGATTATGCAGCAAAAATAGCTAGAGTGGTCTGTAAACTATGGTCAGACCATTTTAACACCAGTCTTTTCCGTCAGCCGAAACAATAAAAATGAGAGATCCTAAGAAGAGGAGGTTGGGTTTAGTTGTACAGTTGTCTGTATTCTTTTCAATCAATTGTCCCAACATATGTTTTGTTTCCACTGAAACTGTCTTTATTGGAGAGTCAGAGAAAAGAGCAAAAGTGAATAGCGAATCGAATAGGTTCTCAAAAGGAGAGCTGGGTTTGGAGCAATATACCTCTTGTTCTTGAGCTTAATGTTTTCCAATCTTAGACTCCGTGTCATTCCCTAGAGTACTGTTTCTTTGTTTAACGGTTGAAAGGTACATGAATAAGAAAGATATGAATATGGATACATCTCAATATTTTCCCATTTCAATCCATGAGTCATTCTATTGAGTACCTTTTATTTGTTTAATTTCGATGTTTTACCATTTTAGAGTACGTGTCATTTCTTAGAGTATCAGTTCTTTGTTTAACGCTTGGTCTATGAGAAGCCCGACACATGAACGCGAATACAATTGGTAAAAAAAAAAAAGTTATTGAGGTATTAAATGGGGAAAACATTACGCACAAGGTACAGAGGTGCTTTAATAAGTTCAATCACTTTTTCTAATCGACATCACACCCATGTTCAGTATCGTATCACAACACACCCAGCCCAAAAGCGGTACAACCGACTGTAGTCTCTAACTCTCCGCGATCCATGAAAAGCAAGTCAAAATTTTTTTTCTAAGAAAAAAGAGAAACATCAAAATAGTTAGAAAAAAAACCCAGCTATTAATATTGATCCACGGTAGCATGAAATGAAGAAATGTAACGGGTATAGCATAAGGTGCTATTCAGTCACACAACTTCTTCCTCGGTCACCTTTTGCACCTAAAAAATACCTAAAAAACCTGGAAGATTTTATGTTCCCGTGATTTTGTACCCGATAAGCCCAATCTTATTCGGCAGAGGTTTAGCTATCGATAACATGAAGTCTGTTTTCCTCTTGTTATGCTTCATTGGAGCTACTTTGGCTTTCGAAGTAAGTGAATCAAGTTTCTAAAGGTGTTACTGACTTCATACTATATGGCTGGGA